TGGTGTAATGCAGAGTGTGCCCATCTCTCACATAAGAATACGACGGAAACTCAAAATTGCTATTTCTAACAAAACAGCGGGCGCTCAGGCTGACTGCTACACGCTCGGCTCACACTGTCTCTCCTTCGGCCTTCTCTTTCTCTGGCCCCTCTCGACTCCCAGTGCTCCCTTTCTGGTTGCTGGCTTACTAAACTGCATCAGATAGGTAGCAGGAGGTATCCGTGCATTAACTTATCTCAATTTCTGCACTGAACCAGTGCTATTCTTGTTCAGAGTTAAGTGTGCCCTGTGACAATCCAAGCACTGACCCCTTCAGGTCTGCTCCTTTGTTTCCCTATCCTGTTCTGCTTGCTTTATTCCTTTGCTTTTACTCATGCTGTACACATTCATTTTGTTAACTAAGAATACTTTCCTAATTTTTTTCAAGTTTACGTCTTCCAGGCATCTTTCAGTGCAACTATGCTAAAACAAAAATAACTGTGTGCCATGCTACCTTTGTGTTATCTAGCAGGACCAACTATCAGTACAAATTTAGCTCCAAACGCTGTTTGAAGTTTACCAGACTATATAGTGAACCTTTGATAACATGTACTAGTAAGTACTACTTTCAAAAATCCAATAAATATGTCTAGCTTCCTGCTTTAAAACTGAGCCGAGCTTCCAGAAAGTATGAAAATTGTGGCTAGAAGTATGCTCTTTCTAGAAAATAACCTGGTCCAAGCCTGTTGTACTAGCTACAGTACAAATAAGAAGTTTTTTGTATTGAAGTAAAACAATAATTTTCTATAAATAGGAAGTACTGTAGCTGGACCAAACAAATACACACAGAATGCAGGCACTAATAATATTATCTGGGCAATTAATCAAAAATGCCAAATTTTGCTTGATCCTACTAAGAAATAAAGCTATGCAACTAGAAATATAAAGCAGAGGCACTTGGGGAGGGTGCAGCTGAGATGAAGAACAGCAGTTAGTTCTACCCTCACAAGAGGAAATTTGGGTTCAGTCTATGAATAATGCCACTTTGTATAAAACAAAATAATTATGCACTTCTGATCTGATGGAGATAATATTGTTAAGAGTAAGCTGTCAGTGGAAAGCTACCTTATAGCAAATCCGAATTTTAAGAATTACATGTTTGTGTGTATGTGTATATATACATATATGCACACATATATATGTATAAAATACGTTTAAAATATGTGTATAAAGTAATACAAACTCCAGCTACTCTTGCCTAGATAATGATCCTCTTAGGCTTTCATGAAGCTTCACTCTTCTCCACCCTTCAGGACCAGCTTACCTGAATTCTCTTTCTGGACTTCCAATAAATAGGGAGCTGTTCCAAAATGCCTGTTCTGTTCAGAGTGGTCTCATCTTCTGAAAAGCACCTAGCCATCATTTTCAGATAAACATTCAATTTATATTAATACATTGAAAACTAAGGTTTTCAAGGACTGTGATTTTTTTGGTTATAGTCATCCAAGCAAGCTTGGCTCCTGATGCACTGCCAGGGAGACCTATAACTATAAAACCAGTATTTCCCCTGGCATATCTCAGTTCTCAAACCTGACTGTGTGTGTGTATGTGTCCTATCTTGGAAATTTGCTGATAAAAGGTAACAAAAATAAACCCTAATTTTTAGAATATAGTGGCTGTACTACTAGGCAAGGAAGAAAAAGATGTTGTCTTTATACACTGCATTTTTCAAAGGTTAAATTTATGAGAATTAGTTTGCCTTTTATAAGACTTTAAGCATAAAAGTAGAACCAAAGCAGTCTTTTATCCATCTTCCTTATCTGTTAAACACCCCTTTAAATGCAGTAATGCATTTCTTGCTGAGTTTTAAAGGTTTTCCTCATAACCTTGATTATATGCTGAATTTAGCTAGTATACTTTCTCAAAACCATAAAATGTGTCCAAGTTTTTATTTGTCTCCACAGCATGAATTTTGATTACCCAGGAGTATTGCTCTTTTGGTTTCAACTCAAAACAAAATAAATTCCAATGAAGGCTGTCACCACAAAAGAAGAATTTTTGTTCTTAAGAAAACAGACTTAAAGAAAAAGTCATTCTAAAGCTCAAATAGCTAAAGTATAAGAATGAAAGACAGACGTTCCTTGTAACTACTCTGTGCATTGGTCATGATCCCTGGAAAATACAAAGGCAAAATGATCTACAACTGATCCTTGCATTTGATCCTGCAACAAACAAGAACTTCAGGCTGAGACGTCCATCAGCCATACTGATTTTCATACTGGTTTTCTTCCAAGAAATCTTAGTCCACTTTCTTTGTCCTTTTGCTCCAAAGACTTCCATCTAATTTCATGTAACAGTTACTGAAAACAAGAGCCACTCAATATAATAAAAGTAGCCTTAGATGTCAAATATGGAGTTAATTCCCTAGAATTCGAATGATTCAGATCTGTGCACTGCCCTACTCTGGTTCCACAGGATTAGTAAGTCCCATTAAATAAAATTCCAGTTGATGGAATGCTAAGGGGCATGTCTATGAACTGCAGGTCTCTTAGGAAATGGCAAAAGACAAAAGAGACTGTCAGAAGTAAGGGAAGAAATAAGATCAGGAATGGAAAGACTGAGAGCTTCCAGTACCTCTCTAGAGAGGCAAGTGTCAAATGCTAGAAGCCAAAGTCATAGGCAAGACTGAGAAGTTAAAATACTATGAAGAAAAGCTGCAAGAAACAAAAATATACTGCATCCAGGAAACACTGGGAGTTCAGATCTCCTCTCTGGAAATACCCTATTTTAACTAGCCATTAAAATTAATGATGTACTTAAGTTTCATTAATGGATGCTAAAATGCAGGCTAGAACCCTGAAAGACCTTTACAGAAGTGTCTATAATGTTATGCACAAAACTGCCAACCACTGAAGTGTTTACTGTAGAACTCGTGTTTACTTCAGAACTTCGCTCTGAAGTGTTTACCCTGGAATTAATATTGAAAATCCCTCCCTCTGATTTACTTGGCAGTACGAGTTACTTCATCTGTACTTGTGTACTTAAGCCACGGTACAAGTGCTTACCAGCATTTTCTAAGTGCCTGCCTGTCTTTGATTAACATCTAGTACAGAACAACTGTGCTACTAACTGTGATTCAACGGCAGTGTTTCATGGTTACAATCTGCTACTCCCATAGTCATGCAGGAGTCAACAGAGCCTTCTTTTCACACACAGAATGATGCCCTGAGAAGCTGCTTGTGTATCAGTTAATGAGAAAAAACACCTGCTCTTCTTTCAGGAAAAGAAGAGAGAGAAATGGAAAAAAAACTATTAGCTCAAGTAGGCAGGATGATTTTTGAATTACAAAGTTGGCTTTCCTTGGATTCCATATTCACATCCACTTTCAATGTAGGCACAAGAAAACTTTTGGCAAATGGAAATAATATCCAGAATGTCTGACAGGAATGACTACCACCATTTGGCACTGCTATTAACTAGTGTTTTAAAACAGTGTGCTACAAATGGGAGTAATGAATTCAAGAAGTTCTGCAGGAAAATAATAAGAAAGAAATACACATGGCAAAGTGAACTGCAATGTCCTTGCATGCATTTGAGCTGTGAACACCTAAACTCTTGGCAATGAAATCTCACACTCTGCATGCCAAATTCAGCACTGAATAACTAAACAAATCCTCAAGAAACGAAACTGTCGGCAAGTTAATATGACTTGTGTAAAAAACAGCTGCAAGTCACCGGGGTAATAAACATCTGTCATGCTGCTGAAACACAACTTTTATTTTATAACAGTAAAGCCTTTAGCTGAAATGGGATGAAGTCAAATTGTAACCAGTTATCAGAAACAAGAGAGCGAGCTATCTAACACCTTTGTGAAATGCAGCTATGACAAGTTGGACAGCATACACTCGTAAGTATCCTTAGTTTTTTAATGCCTTTCTATAAAAGCTCCGAAGCTATCTGAAGCTATGGATAATCCAAGGGGAAACACTGACTCACTGTTACCTCATTCTTCCACAGGAATGTGCTTCATTTCACTAAAATGTCTCCAGGAAAGTGCTCCAGCTACACAATGATTTTTTTCTGGAAAAAAAATTAAGAGATCTACATCCCAGAAAGCTGAAAATCTCATAACCAGTGTGCCAGCCCCAGCTACAGATGTACATAGGAGAGCTTTAACAACTGAGATAGAGGTAGTCCTACAACTTCACATTTACTTTACATAAAGTACAACAACAGGAGGAAAGATTTAAAGAAGAAAGAAACACATCATAATCTGTAGCCCAAAAATAAGGGACGAATGGGTCAGGCTCCTGCTCCATTTATTTCTACTGAGCAGAAATGCTTTTGTACTAGACATCAAGCGGCTCTCCACAGAACCTAGCAGTTATTATTTAGAGCCTTAACTACAATCCTACCTTAACAATTTCAACACAAATGGGAAATATTCAATAGATAAAAAAAAGTCAATGTTACCATAATCTCTCTTAAAGCTAACTGTATAAGAATATAAAAGAGTCAAAAAAGAACAGATTTAAATACGTTATTCTCTTGGGCAGACCAAAGGAACCTCATGCACTGTCTCTACTTAAGAACAATCTCAATATTACACACCTAGTTTTGTAAATCTTCCCAAAAGCTCCTCATCGAGATTCTCTTAGCCTGGATATGGACTTCAGGCATTTAAAACATTAACCCTCCTTGACCTCCTGAATGTCTGCTTGGTCTTTTAACCTTCATGTACTTTTCTGCTTATTGAAAAACGTGCATTTCTCACATGAAATAAATGTAAGAAGGGAGTATAAACTTAGAATCTTATTACAATTGTAGTTTTTCCTCATTTAAAGAGGATAACAGAAACATCCTTTTGGTTCTGAAGTTACCAAAATAGGAAATACTTTAAGCAATACCAAAGCAGTCGAGCAAAGCAAAACATCAAGTTTGCACAGGCTACAGCTAGAACTTTTATTTTCATTTTTATCTCCTTACTGAGGCTCAGAGATGCCAATATATATTTGGCATACCTGCTCCAACTTCTTTTTCTTCTTCTTCAATGTTGTTTTTGATACTGTCATATTCCTCATCAATTGCCTGGTTCCCACGCATCTGAGAGAGAATTCTCCGTGCCCTCTGAGTCTGCCCTTTCTGAATGAGCCAACGGGGGCTTTCCGGAAGAAACAGGAAGCCAAGAAACTGGAGGGCTGCTGGAAACGCCGAAAGGCCCAACATATACCTAAAAACGAATAAAGAAAAAAGTGTCTAATATTTACCCACAAAAACATACTTCGAATAGTCATGCACATACTCAAGCTTTACAATGTATATATTAGGATGCTGCTTCCCTAGCAAGAAGGATGCTCTGCCAGGGAAGTAAAACACCGTAACAAAGTTAAATAGGAGAAACCATGAACCTGACTGCCTGTTATCCTCCTGCCCTCTTACTTTCTGTTCAGAAATGAAGGAGGCAAGAATCCTGTTCTTTAAGGATTTTAGAAAATTGGATTCTCACCTGCAAATCCAGTGCACACCAAGGATTACGCTGAGTATTCTGTCACTGACTCTACAGCCAGTGCTTTGGGAAGCATTGCCTCAGACTAATAAAACCCTGAAATAGTCCATTGGTTCGGGGACCAAACTGATCCCTTTCAGCAAAGGTATGCAAAAGGAAAGAACAGAAAAAAATCAAAGATAGATATAAGAAAGGAAAGAATGGAAAAAGAAATCAAATGGCTTTAAAAATAAATGGTACTGTTGATGACATAAAAGTGAGACTAAAAAAAAAAGCCAATGCAACCACAGAAAAGCTTTTTAGGGTCAGCAAACATGTATACATAGAAACACATGAACAAGGAATAAAGTCCTTTTTAAGGAGATGTCTGTTTTCCTTTTGAAAATTTCCAGCTGTGCATTTTCATTCCACTTGTGTATTTTCAGCCAGCAAAATCATGTTTTAAGCCAAAGAAGTATTTGAGATACCGACAGTATTTTACTATATCAATTAGTCAGGCTAATTCTCTACTATCTCTCTCAGGGACATGACACTTCCGATGCTCAGTACTGATACCTAAGGCAACAGTCACGCACACTGTGATTCACTCTGACTAAATACTGCAAAAGACAAAAACACTCTGAAACTAAGTGTCAGAAGCGGTTCGGATATCCATGCTTCACATTTTTATATTACACAGAATCACATATTCCTTCAATAAAGCACATGCATACAGCATGACCAACATTTTCACAAGCAAGCTGGAATTCTTTCCAGTTCTTTCCAAAGCCTGCAGCTCAGAGGAAATGGCGCTGGGAAGCAGCCTATCTCACTAGCAGGCGCCTATGGCAGGACAGACTCTACACTGGAGAGACACGTATGTAAAGCTCCCAACAGCTCTGTACTTCTGCAGAACTAATTTTACAGAATTGTACTTGTTCGTAATTAAGTATGAACAAGTAAACAACACAAAATTTTATGTTATTTTATGTATAAATTTAATGTATAAATTACATAAAATTTTGCTACAAGTATCAAGGGAAGACTGAGTTCATGTATTTTAAATTGTTCTAGTCATTGTGCTTTTTTTTTGCAGTAGCACAACATACGTAAGACCTGGGTCTCTAGAAGAATTCTAACTTTTACTTTCTTCAGGTAACATATGAGGCAATCAAACCCATAAAGAGTTAAGCACCTTCCAGAATTTCCAGTTATAAACATCAGCTCAGCATTCAGGACTTACTCAAAGAAGAACTACAAGAATTACTGATTAATCTATCATTTTGTTCTTCTTCTTAAATATGATATTTGATACCTCAGATACACCATGTACCCTCAACTGGGATTTTTTAGCTTCCATTATGAACTTCAAATGATGCTAATGCTTCAAACAGTACCACCTATATATTATTGCAAGCAAACGTTTTTCACATCAGTGTAGATTACCATTAGATTACCTCCAGAAACAAGCCCTCAGACTGAACACTGTGATATACTGAAATCATAAATAGATTCACACCTTGAAATCAATAAGGAGATCAGGGGAATTAATAACAACCTCTTCCCTGGCTCCTCTCTTCACACATCAAGGTTCATGCTTTCACACAGGAGATTCTTAAGTCTCTTGCGCAGATGTTTCTATAACGTGTACTACAAAATGAGACTGATATTAGAATATGAAAAACTGTACAACCATTAAAGGAAACTAGTTTCAGAACTCTGTATCTCTCAAATGTATTTGAGAAATCCGAATGCACTCCCAATGCAAATGGAAAAAACAAAAACAAACAAACAAACAAAAACTTTTCTTAGAGTATCATTTGCAGACTTAAAGGAAGACCGGAGCAATACAAAAGGGCAGAAAATGGAGAATGGCAAAAAGGACACCCAAACGAAAATGGAAAAAGGCTGGCCATTCCTGGACAACCTGCATGCAGGCCAGTCTTTCCTGCACCAAACTGAGACCTCAAGTTCTTGCTAAAACTGGCTGAAATTTCCACAGGCCATATAGGTAAATTATCTTGGACCAGAGGAAAAAAAATGAGAAGATATTTTGTTTTCTAATGATATAAGCATGGTACAGCTCATCCTTATTTATAAAAAGAAAAACAGAGAGAAGAAATAAAAATTGAAAACAGTAAAGTTTGTGGAAGCAAAATTAGTTGAGCAGTCACAGACATCACCTTTACACATACATCCCTGAAGTTTACCAAACGGTGTATTTGATATTTGCATTTGTGTAGTATAGACAGTCTTTTTTATTTTAGCTGGAAAGTAGACCAAAACCATAAAAATTATATGCCCAACTGCTGCATTCCATCAGCTTGCAAGCAGAAGGATCTTTTAACAGATCCCACTAAACAGATTTATTCCTTTACACTAATATTAGCCAGTTTCTGCTCCTCCAGGGCTTATCAAAGCCTTTTAGTCCATTGCAGCAGCAGCCTCCAGAGCTAAGAAGCAGAGTATATTCAAAAAACTTTGCTTCTTAAGGTGAATGGTACACCTGAATGCTAGACTCAGCCTGTCAAGGTTACCAGTTGGATCCTCTTAGATTATTTGTTGGGAACAAGATTAAAAAAAAATCCACAGAAAGTGCTCAGTCACTGAATTCAGTTTCCAATTGACCTGTTTCTGGTTAAAGTTGAGCATAAGGAGCAGGCCAGATGGAAAACACACAGTTAAGAGCACAAATCCATTTCAAGTTCAAGAATTGCCACTACTTCCAGATAAACAACTTCATATACTCCATTTAAAGGAGGCAACAACATGCAGGGAGCCAGCTTTCAGAAACCTAATATAGTTCTTTCCTATATAGATTACAAGGATTTCCATTTGAAACTAGATGTCTAACAGACCTGAAAAAAAACCTAGCATGAAATTTAATGTCTGCTACAACACTTCTCTTAAACACATCTCAACAATACTACTAAAACAGCATTAGCAGGATTTATAGTGACATAAGTCAGGTAAGTTTTTTTTTTCCTCTGTTTATTTTTAATTTAATACCCAGCATTTCCAAGAATCCCTGT